CCATCATGTGGCAGTGTTTCACAACAACCATCATGTGGCTGTGTTTCACATCAACCATCAAGTGTGGTAGTGTTTCGCAGCAGCCATCATGTGGCAGTGTTTCACAGCAGCCATCATGTGGCAATGTTTCACAGCAGCATCGTGTGGCAGTGTTTCACAGCAGCTGTCATGTGGCAACGTTTCACAGCAGCCGTCATGTGGCAATGTTTCACAGCAGCTATCATGTGGCACCGTTTCACAACCATCATGTGGCACCGTTTCACAACCATCATGTGGCAGCGTTTCACAACAACCATCATGTGGCAGTGTTTCACAGCAGCTGTCGTGTGGCAGCATTTCACAACAGCCATCATGTGGCAGTGTTTCACAACAACTGTCATGTGGCAGTGTTTCACAACAACTGTCATGTGGCAGTGTTTCACAGCAACCATCATGTGGCAGGGTTTCACAGCAGCCATCATGTGGCGGTATTTCGCAGCAGCCATCATGTGGTAGTGTTTCACAGCAGCCATCATGTGGTAGTCTTTCACAGCAGCCATCATGTGGTAGTCTTTCACAGCAGCCATCATGTGGTAGTCTTTCACAGCAGCCATCATGTGGTAGCGTTTCACAGCAGCTATTGTGTGGCAGTGTTTCACAGCAGTCGTCATGTGGCAGTGTTTCACAGCAACCATCATGTGGCATGTTTCACAGCAGCCGTCATGTGGCAGTGTTTCACAGCAGCCATCTTGTGGCAATGTTTCACAGCAGTCATCGTGTGGTGGTATTTAACAGCAGCCATCATGTGGCAGTGTTTTGCAGCAGCCATTGTGTGACAGCGTTTTGCAGCAGCCATTGTGTGACAGCGTTTTGCAGCAGCCATTGTGTGGTAGTGTTTCGCAGCAGCCATCATGTGGCAGCATTTTGCAGCAGCCATCATGTGGCGGTTTTTCACAGCAGCCGTCATGTGGCAATGTTTCACAGCTGCAATTATATGGCAGTATTTCGCAGCAGCCATTATGTGGCAGTATTTCACAGCAGCCGTCATGTGGCAGTGTTTCACAGCAGCCGTCATGTGGCAATGTTTCACAGCAGCCATGTGGCAGTATTTCGCAGCAGCCATCATGTGGCAATGTTTCACAGCAGCATCATGTGGCAATGTTTCACAGCAGGCACCATGTGGCAATGTTTCACAGCAGGCACCATGTGGCAATGTTTCACAGCAGGCATCATGTGGCAGTGTTTCACAACAGCCGTCATGTGGCAATGTTCCACAGCAGCCATCATGTGGCAATGTTTCACAGCAGTCATGTGGCAGTGTTTCGCAGCAGCCGCTGTGGCAACGTTTCACAGCAGCCATCATGTGGCAG